GAGCTTTTGCAGGCAGTTGGTAAAACTGTTCAGACCTGTCATGGCCATGATTTGTTTGTAAGAATTAAATCCTACTTTTGTTAATGAAAAAGGAACAGTAAGAAGATAGAGAGTGAGTTTGCACTTTAGTAATCTGCCCCAGAAATTAGCTATTCTTGCTTTTCCACATGACCTTGCTACTGGACTGAGGAGCAATGATTTACTACTAAAACACTGCCACTTATCTCTTATTTAAATTTGCATATTTTAACTTGAGCTACAAGATCATACTATGACTTTGGCTGCTAGGTTAAAGGATGTTTTTTATGTAGGCACCAAGAAATGGGGACCAGGCTACTGCTCAGCTCTTGCTGCCAGTTTCTAGCCTGGCCCCAAAACAACAGATTCAAACATGAGGAGAGGCATCACCACTCCCTGAACATCCTGGGCACAGTGAGCCAGCCCTGAGCTGTGTCTGTGCGTGAGAATAGGGAAACACTGCTGTCTTCTGAAAGCCTTTGCCCTTGAACACAAGAACACTCTGCTCCTCCTTTGCTCCAGAGTTAACAGAGACGTGCCTGTGGGATGACTTCCCCACTATTTACATATTTCTGCTCTGTCCTGTATTAGTCAGTATTTCTGTCTCCAGCCTGTAACCTTTGGTCAGGTCTGGGATCTGCCTGGACTTTCTACAGTTGTGCTGGAAGAGAGATTCCTCCTGCAGTTCAAAATACCACGGGGAGGAGCAGGGATAGGGTTTTCTCCCCGAGGCCCATAATCTTGCTTCACTGAGAAGTAGCTGAAATATCTCATATAAAACCAAAATCCACAACAATGAAAAGTTGTTTTGTCTTTTACAAGAGCAGGGGCTCTATAGAAGCATTTCACAGCCCCAAAAGTTTTCAGAAGAAGAATACTGGAGGATTTGGATCCATAGCATAAAACAAGCCTCATCCAAACACTCCCACTGACTGTGGCTGGCATTGGACTGGACCTATATGTGAAATTTAAGCAAAATATCCTCAGAGTCCTTCCCAGTATAGTGGATTACAGCAAGAGTGTTTTTTATATATAAAAATGGGGCTATAACCAAAGGGCATTGCTGTGTAGAGGGTTTTCCTTTCCCCTCTCCAAACATTCAGGGGAAAAGGCAAAGACACTGTTCTCACACACATGGATACATCACCTCCTCAGCAAACACGTCCATAAATTTGTTTCCCTAGCATAAAACTAAAATAAGCAGAGAAATGTTTTTCTTCCAGTGTTTGCTTTCTATTTATTTTCTGTTGCTACCTTTGTGCTGCAGCAAGGTCAGTGTTCCTGAGCCCCGGGCCCCACTGGTTCTGCATCTGCTGCCTCTCAAGCCCCAGAGGATGGCACTGGAGCAGCCCCCCTTTGCAGCTGGCAGGCACAGGACTATTCCAGAGCTGGGGTGAACAAGCAAAATGTTGGGAACATAAACAGGGGTTCCCAGTGGGACAGGGATTAGAGCTGGGATGAGGCATATCACATCAGCTGTGCTTTCAGTAGATTTTTAAGGAATTGGAGCCTTAATTGGAGCCTTAAGTTTCCTTTTTAAGAGCTGTGATATTATTATCATTATCATTACTACTACTACTATTATTATTCCAAGTTTCTTTATCATTATCTTAGTTTCCTTGTTGTCTTCTTCACTGTTCACAGAAAGCAAAATTCTGAAAGGTTACTGGCAGATTCACATTCATTTTTGAAGGTGAGCAAACAGCTGCAGGGATTTATTCAGCCAATTTCAAGCAGAAAAAAATACATTATCAACTTATTGGGGGGAAAAATATCCAAACCTAACTGCACATATCTAACCAGGGCAACCTCACGGTGCTGTCATTCAGAACTTTGCTGTTGTTTCCTCACTACTTGGGAACATCACTCTCTGTGTTAACAAACAATCTTTTCCTGCAAAGATCAAGGACTTTAAATTCTGGCACATTCTGGGCACTGTAAGAACCATAAATAACAACTTATTGAATGAATCTCACTTCACCAGGCATGACTTTCCCAGACTTGTATAATGTGTGAAATCACTTACTGCTGGAAGACCCATGAAAGAGACAGCCACAAAAGCCCATTGCATCTTATTGTTTGAAGCCTAAACCCCAACATCATTTATTTCTAAGCTAGTTTTTGGGTACATACAGAAATCAAACCCTTGTAAAATCATTTTAATTTCCTGCTCTCATTCTTTGGGCACAGAATGGACTTGTGAGATGTTTAGCTTCTCTTTTTTCCCCACATTACTGGTAAACTCCAGTTTCAGCCAGGATGCCCATAAACAAAACTCATGTCAGACAAGGCAAAGGTTCCAAAAAGACAGTTACTAGCTCAAAGCCAGAGTGTTTCATTTTAGACTTCATCCCTATTTAAACCATGAAAATCTCAGTAAGTATTGAATTTAAATCCACTGTCACTTTCTCCAGCTCTTGTCAAAGGACTCATTATTGGTTTTTGGTTTACAGTACCTCCTAGATCCCTGTGCTGACAGGGACCACACTGCACAAAGCAGAGCTGCTGCACACACAGAGCAGGAAGTGGTCTCCCTCCCAGAGTGGCTGGGATCCCAGACAGAGCAGACAAAAGATAAGAAAGAGGTGCTGTGTTTCCAGCCTGTGACACTCAGCAGGTCAGAGGGTTCAGAAGGATAGCTCAGGATCCACAAGTCTGCATGCAGAACCTTATCTACCACATCAGAATTTGTCGTCCTCTTACCAAGTGAAACCAAGTATATATGTACAATAAAGGGCACATATGGATATAGTAAAGCATATGAACATAAGCTCTTTTTGTAAGAAAGGTTCTGTCCCTTCTTACAGGAGCAAACACAAAACCTCCCAAGCCTCTCAGATGCATCTGAATTCTCTTTTTTCTCCTTTGTTATGGCCCTTATCCCATGGCCCTCTCTCACACAGAAACAACAGCTCACTGAAGCACAGTTTCTGCAGGAGACACAGTGTAGGGATATGTGTTAACCAAAAGGGATCTTTATAATTTCTGGTTCCTGTTGGTCCTGGTGCCCTATTTCTGTGTGCCAAAAGGGTGAGCAGCACACTGCCTGTAAGCAGAACACTTACTCCATGCTCCAAGGCCTGTGGGACTAGGCAGCCACCAAGAGAAAGGAATTGCACAGGCAAGCCTCAACTCCCAGCCAGGGCTGCAACGTGCATAAAACCCTGGCTGCCTGATAAAGTCCTGGGTTACCACAAGCCCTCAGTATCAGCAACACAACTGCTTTCCATGCCAGCTACCTTGAGCCTGTCAAAGTAGGTTTAATTGTTGATTTTCTCCGCACAGTGCCCAGGGCACCATATGGCATTGGCTAGGCCAGCTGTCCCAGGGAAAGGCTCCAGGGCATGGCTGCTGTCTGTCTCATCCCTCACAGCTGAGGATCTTCCCCACAGTAAGGCATCCCTGCATAGCTGTGCCTGTGGTCCACAGAACACTACAGAGGAGCAACTGGGAACTCCAGAGCAGAGCAGCAGAGCCCTCACTTTTGCTGTACCACTTCTGTGAGTTTCCACTCAGATCACTGTGCCATTGGAAGGAATGCAGATCTGTGTCAATCTGAATTACAGTCTGAATTGTGGGTGCTGAAAGAATGGCAAAACAGGATGAGGTGAGTAAACATGCTGTAGGAAAAGTCAGAAGGACACACCAACAGTATTTCTAGAGCTACCTGCTCCAATATTCATGGTGTGATTCATTTATCTACTAAAGTACTGCAGGGTACTAGTTACACAATTCTCATCACAGGTATATGTGCAATTAAGTCATCCCAAATGGTCGTTCAAACCAAGGGTTACTGACAAGTGAAGGGACGAAATAAAATGTTCCTGTTGTTCTAGACACACAAAAGACTGCTAAGGAAATAACTTTATAACCTGAGAAGGGTCTGCAGCTTTAAGAAATTCTCCCCTAAAGGTTGTAAAGCTTTTACTACGCAAAGTATTTTTGCTATTATATACACTGGCGGCCACAAAGTGCAGCTATTGTTTCTGGCGGTCATTCAGAGGAGGTCGGGACTGATAAAATGTTTAGCAGAGTTCGTTTGGGTAGATCCATCTGTGTTTTTAACCTCCCATACAGCCTCTGGTGTCCTTTTAAAAGATGCTGGATGTTCCTGAGTCTAATAAATGACAGGCTTTACTATTATTTGCTATTTTTTATTATGTACCATGCCACAGAAAATAATGTCTTCTTTACATTACCCACACTTTTCTGTATGGATTATAGAAGCATCTAAAAAATAGGATTTTTTTTTTGCTGTGGGGCAGGGATGCAGCTTACACAGAGCTCCCATTTCCTTGGGAAAGCCATGGCGAGATGAGGCCTGTTAATCTCACTCCTTACATCTTGGGCTGAGTTCAAGAGGAACAAAGGAGGGGAGGAACAAGGAGGGGAGATTGCAATCAAAGGGCAGGGAAGCAAAAGGCGTGTTCAGAGGTTCTAGCAAGGAGCCCAAGATGGAGCTTCCAAAAGGAAATGTTTTCAGGTCACATGAGCACCAGGAAAAATATCCTAAATAGTTGGGAAGCGCTGTGATAGCAGTTTAACACTCACACTGGATGGGTTTGGTAGAGCAGGAATTGAAACAGCCCCAAAATAAAGTCTCAGTATTGCACAGAGCAAATCATGGGAGCTCTCAGCACCCCACTTCCCTGCCTGCCTGCGCTGCATGAGCACAAGGTGAACCACTTCAGTGACAACCTCTACCACTCTTCATGAGTATCTGTGTCCAATACCTGACAGAAACATTGCTGGCACTACACGGTGTCAAAATGCTGTGCAAACATTTGCTGACTGTGAAGAAGGTGAGAAGTTGCATCACCATTTTACAGGTGGGAAAGACAGAACATCCATGGATGCAAAAAGACCTTTAAATCCTCCAGTGAGAGGATCCTGACATCTGAAAACCGTTCGGTACAGAATCTCTTTTCCACCTAGAGATAGCACCGTCCTGCACGTGTGCTTCAGGTGCCGGCACCGCTCACCTGAGCTTGTCCGCCACGAAGATGACGCGGCGCTCGAGCAGGAGGGAGGCGAAGATGCGGATGATCTGCCGCACGCTCAGGCACCGGAAGAGGCACTCGAAGTCCACGTGCTCCAGGCGGGAGTCCATGGGCCGCCGCAGCTCGATGACCTGCACACAGCCAAGAGCAGCGGGGTCAGCAGCGCCGGGGCGCGGAGCCAGCCCGGCCGCCTGAGGGGACGCGCGGTGACCCAGCCCCTCGTGCGCAGGCACACAAAAACAATGGCACATTGCACAACTCCTGTCATGCCACTCTTCCCAGAATACAGCTGTGTGTGATGACTGTCTGCCGACATCTCCAAGGGAAGCGTAACTCCCCCTTCCAAACATTCTGTAAGAGATGTAAAGCTTGGCTGAGTCGAGAGTGTGAAGCAAGTAACAATCAAACGCTGGAGATGGAAGCTTACAGGGTTGAAACAGCCATAAAGTCAAGGTAAATTGGGTTCTAAGCTTGACTAACAATTCATATTAACATCTAGATAGGAGCCTGGAACTCAACTAAAAAAGCCAGAAAGACCTTGAACCCAATTTACTTCATTTCCACTCTCCTGTAATGTGTAATTCACTAGAGAATGTTTAAAACCTTTCTCTTTTCACATAAAGATATGTACATATATATACTTAACTGGGGAGTCAGGACAAGGTCTTAGATGGTGAGTTGTGACATCCCTTTACAGTCTAATTTTCATACTTCATCCATGACCTCTGGCCCCCTCCTTCCTTTTCTCAAATGCCTTTTCCTTGATTCCTTTATTATATCTTCCTTTTACTCTGCAATTGACATGTTCAGATGTGGAACTTGAAGGCAGAGGACAGAAAAAAGAAGAGGGAAAAATAACGTGAAGAAGAGAGTACAGAAGGAGAAAAATATGAAGCACAAGACAGCAAATGATGGACTATTGAGGAATTTGAGGAAACAGAAGGGAAAGAGAAGAAGTTGACCAACTTGAAACCATGTTAAAATCTCTGAATATATATTAACAGGAACATGCATGCACCTTCTTTCCATATGTCCAAAAATCACCATCACTTTATTGCTTTAGACTACTTTTATGTTTTCATGCACGTGACACCACATTCCACAAGCAGACTGGATCAGGTTTTAACTGGATCAGCCCTTACAGAATCCTCACAAACACTGTTTTAAGGATATGCTCAAGATCACAGGATACTGTAAACAAAATAAGTTCTTATCAGTTTGGTTGTGATATTGTTTGTGATCACTAATACACAACTGTAAAAAGAAAACTACTCTTAGAACAGTATGTACCAAATCAAATAAATTTGATTTTTTTAAGCCTGAAATACAGAAACAGTATGATGCATTGACACCCTCATTCAGCTGCTGCCCCAAACAGCAGTAAGAAACAAACTGTGGAGTGACTGTAGCAGGAATGGCTCCTTGGAAATGCTGGCTAACCTCCTCACAATCAGCAGAGGTGCCCACTTCCATTCCTTAGCACGGGGATTGCAAGCTCAAATCAAGTGTATGTGCCAAAGCAGGAGGGGCTGATTCTACTGCAAACCTGCCAACACGAAAATCTTGCTGCAGGGTAGGATGCAATGCAAGTTATGGCAGCTTCTACAAATACCAGGGATGTTTTCTGCTGCCTGGCAAAGCCTGCTGCCTCAGTCTGCTCATCACAAAGAAATACACTGTCTGCTTCCCAATTAATCACCATCTTTGTTTAGGCAAGAGGAGCCACAATGGACGGATAAGATTCTGTTCCTAATTAAGCCAGTGCATTCCATTTAAATAACGAGTTTGTACTAGCACAACAGAGAGCAAAGCTCAGCCAGAAGAGAGTTGTTTGTTTGTTGGAATTATCTCAATATTTTTCTCTGGGAGAGTTCAGAAGCTTGAGCAGAGGATAGAGAGGTTGCAGATCATGGCTCCCAGTCACATTCACACAGAAAAAGCATTGTCAGCTCTTTTCCCTGCTATGCCAATCACCCTTTCAGATGCTGCCTCTCCAGAAGAAAATGCAGGTGACTTTAAAATGTCTTGCAAGTCACTTATACAAGGAAATGCCATACATTACAGGCCCACTCCATTGAAGTCAGTGGCATTACATTCATAGAGAAAATACTATTTAATGCAAAAATAACAAAGGCACTGCAAAAAAACCATAAGGAGGGTGAAATAACCCTAAAGGGGAGTTTTTTCTCTCTGCTTTCACTAAATGGGACAAATTCTGTTTCTATCTTCAGTAATGAATCCCCTGTATATGCTTGACCATCTGAGTGGAGCTACTCTATTTTCACGTAAGGGCATGCAGAGAACAGAATTTGACACCGTAAATGGCTAGCCAGCCCCAAGCTGAAAAAGCCTTTTAATCAATACTGTCATTTTCCAATAAAGCACATGTTGTCTAATTATAGACTTCTAGCTACTTGAGTCAGGAATAAAAAGAAATGGCATCTATTATATGTGTGCACACACAAAAAAAAAAGAGTTTTACATTACATACTTTCCTTTGAGAGCCAGTTAAAAGGTATTTATTACCAAAGAGAGCCATTTAAATGCTGCTCCTACCATGGCCAGGACCAGCAGTAACAAGGTTTGAAATAACAAGCAGCTGCTGAAGTGCTCAGGTACAGAGAGCATGGGAAACTCCCCCTTGCCTATTATCACTGTGATAAAGCCCAGCAATGCTGCAGTCTCTGAGCTGCACTAGGCCAGGCACACTGGGACATTTGTGCTGGCTGCTTTTCTTACACACAACTTATTAAGAAACATAAAATAATAAGTACATAACCATAAATTGGCATAAATTGGCTTTTAATCATCAATGGGAACTAGCATTAGCATGTCCACAGCGGTGCAGCTCATGCTCTGCTTATTTTGAGGGTTTGCCACCCCACAGCCCTGCAGGATCTGTTTGTCTCCTGCTTTTCTTTTGCTGTTTTGACACTGGAGAGGTAAAGGGTAAGGCTTTGACTTTTAATGTTTGCAGTTGCTTTTTACCTCATTTCCAGCTCCAGGCAGGAAGGTTTTGACTTTGATTGTCTTTCCAGGTGCAGGAAAAGGAGATTCCATCAGACTTCTCATAAATGGATAAACCAGGGCCGCAGATATTCCCCTTCTCCTTTCAACCTCATCCAGGATCTGGTCCATTAGTAAGACATAAGTGAGAGAGAGACAGAATATGTCAGCATCACATAGACTTTTGAAGCATCCTTTGACCCACGTGTGCTGAAACACATGGCAGATCTAAGTTTATGTCTCCTCTGTCATGTATTTCTTCATTACCATCAATCCGTGGGGTTTTTTGTTACAAAATGAAACCTGTTTGTGAATGTTATTAACACAGAGGCAAGGAAGAATTAACAAGTCTGGAAAAGAGGAAGGAGATTCAACATGACTAGAGGGATGTATATATTGTTGGGATTATGCCTGAACAACAGGGTGAGCTGAAGGAGAGAAAGATGAAGACAAATCCCATGATCACAGCCCAGGTACATCTCAGTACATCTTGAAATTTATATGAAGGAAAAACTGTCTTCTGCACTGAACATCTCTTCCATTTCAAGTGAGAGGGCAGGAAAAAGTCAGAAAGCAATGCTGCCACTATGGTAGGAGGACAGAGCCCCTGAAAGGGTCACAGCAGTGGCTGTCAGATCAGAGTCTGTGCTGAGCTGGAGACCATGAGCTGCCCCTCAGGCACACCCAGCTCTTCATACTGGTGCCTGCATTAAGGTCATTTTCTCTTGATGAAACAGCAAGTAAACTAGTCTTCAAATAAGCAGATGGAACTTCTTAAAGACAGAGGAGACTATTGTGTTCTTCTCTCTTTGGTCACACGGGGCAACATAAATTAGATCACAGCTAAGCTTTCCCACATTAGACTGAGCATATAGATGATAAAGCAAAGAAGACAGAAAGCAAGGTTCAAAGCAGTTAGTGGTTTGACCTGCAATGGTGATCCTTTAACCACCACTCCAGAGCAAAAGGCCATACAAGAATTAGTGGGTCTGAGCCAGGCATTTTCTCTTGTTTCTCTTGGAAATGATTTTCACTGAAGCAGAACATTAAAGGACACTTAAGCACAAGCTGGTGACCTGTAAGGAGAGCTGGTGACACCAAATGCCAGCAGAGGCATTCACTGGTGCATAGTTTCCCCTTCCTCTCTGTGACATAATGAAGGCCTAACTAAAGCAAAGCTTGGCCCTGTGTACATAACTTGCATTCCAGTCCTTGGAAGTGGCAGAAAACCATAAATGAGGCCATGGATTTCACTCTTGATGTAATGTGCAGCACAGCCATCCTTAGCAAACAAAACCAGTGGGACGCAGCAGTGAAGCAGGGCTGTGCCCCAGGTCCCTTGCTGCTCCTGCACACTGCCAGCACTCAGTTGTGTTCCTGCAGCCACAGGATTGGCCGTTTGATGATTTTGTTGCTGGACTTGGGGTCATGTGTGTGTCATATGCCTGGCTCCAAAGACCTTCACAACGCAAATAAAAGGAGCATTTAAACCAAATAAAAGTTGAACAGAGATCCCAAGAGATAAAATGGTCAGAAACATCTGTTGAAACCATGACCAAATGAACTGGCTGGAAGTTAAAATATCTGTGGTTCTCAAGTCTGTCTCAGCAATAGGTATTGCAACAGTGAGTGAGCAGGAAAGGCTTTGTGGAAGACAAAGTTAATGAAATTTATCAGAAAAAGGAAGAGAAACATTTTAAACAGAAACAGAGGAATCTTTTTGCTTTTGTCATAAATAATATCCAAGATTTAATATCCCACGGTCTTTCATCATTCACAGTGTAAGGTAGAGACAGCTGTTCATTCTATTGAGGGCCAGCTGTCTGACCTTATACCTCAGCTGCAGTGATACTTGGTTGTAAGGAAGATACTTATTTTATTTTTTCTTCTCCCAAATCTTCTTTGTAAAATAGAGCACTATCAAAATGAGATAAAAACATAATAGCAAACAAAGAGCCTCATGAGTTCTGTCCACACCACGAGTGATCCTGGTGGTGAGCTGGGTGATCCTCCCAGAACAATGCATTCCATTTCACTCACAGATATCTGTGTTTAGATACATCTTACATCTAAGAGGCACTGTTATAAATCCTTGATTTCAGAGCTTTATGAAAGACATCAGAAGCAAAATTGCAATAAACTATTTGCAACCCAACTGTTGTTCTTCACACAAGGCTTGTATGAAGTTGTTGATAAAACTTGTCAAAATTTTATCTAGAAAAACTTGAAACCTACTTTAAAGATAATATTCTGTATGAATATTAGATCATATGAACAATAGAAATGCTATGATTTTATCTAACATCAATGATTTACATGCTCTTTTCCACTTTATTCCTATGAAAATTAGCAGGTAAAATCTGTAAAAGTTTTGAGAGATTTCCCATACCTGAAGTGAAAATCTCTGGCAAATTAAAACACCATCAATTAAAACTGGGCAAATCAAAAGATCATCTGTGCTTTATTCTGGACTCTAGGGTGAAAAAAAAAAAGTGTCCCTAGTTTTAAGTGCATAGAATTCACATATCAAATCTTTTTTCTCAACCTCATCATTCCACAGGGTGTTGGAGCAAAAGTGGTACTGGCCCATCATCCAAACTATGGATGCCAAGAATTACAGCTCAGCACAGAACGGCTGTAGAAAACAATGGAAAAAATTTTGGTCAGCCAGATGATACAGACACCCAGATGTTTTCTGAATCAATTTCTGCCTCAGTCACAGAAGTAATAAGACATTCTTTGATGAACCAAATAATAGGGATAGAATATCCAAAATAGCAACTGTAAAATAGTTATCTCCCATCAAAGGAAGGAATTCTTCCAGCCTGGTTCATCACTGCAGATGTGTGTCAGTAAACAACCAAATTAAAAAGCAATATTAAAAAATATCTCCTTACCTTAGAAAACAAGTCAAAGCACCCCAGGCGGCTGATGACACAGTAAACTTCAGGTAGGCGTGGGCCTTTTCCATTGGGCTGATAACAGCAAAGAGGAGATGGGAATTACACATCCATGTGGAGCCATGAGGAAATACACTTCTCTCCCTGACCACACAGTTGGCCATCATGTGACATCTCTCACTATTTGCTTCTCCAACAAATAGCTGCTCTTGGAAAAGCATCATATTTCTTCCATGAGGCAGGAAACCAAAAGGCGCAGATAGAGCTTCTCCCCTTTGGAAATCACAGCCTGTTGGAGCTGCATCCCAGCCTGGCTCCAGCTTGCAGCCATAAAGGCACAGGGAACCAGGGCTGTAACTCATGCCTCTGCTATCTCTGTCCCCTGCCCCTGCTGCAGCACAAGGAGTGGGGCCACCCTGGGGCTGTGTGCTGCAGGAGAACTGCAACACCAAGGGAGGCCACGATGGCTTCAGGTCCCCACCCCTCGCTCCATGGTGCTCAAAGAGAGCTCAACCTACAGAAAGGGAGCTCACAACCTAAACAAAGGCAGGCTGCATGAGTAAACCATTAGCTTCCTCAGACCAACTCTTGATAAACATGAAACTCACGTAATTTAAACTGTGGCAAGTATGAATCAATAATACACATCCCTCTTACCCACTCCCCAAGAGAAACTGTGAAGACCATCCTCTATAACCATCGTATAAAAGATTTATCCTGGAGAAGCAAATGGTACTTCCTCAGTATACTGGACTCTGCTACCCTTCCTATTCCACTTTGTCTCTTGTTGGACTCTACTGGTACTGAACTTCCCCACGGAGTGTTTGAAATTCACATGCCACAGAGAGGACAATCAAGAGAAACTGAGGGCTAGCTGTGCTTTTTAAACCTGAATATTGCACTGTAGACTTGGACAATCAGCAGGTGCCTGCCTGTTATAATAAAGACCACAAAAAAAATACCAAAGCTAAGTGAATACAGATGAGTCTATTTCTGGATCCAAACCTGCTCACTACACGTCACATCTCTGAAAAAGCAGAGCCCTTTTTTGTCCATATTAGGTATAAAATCCTTTCTAAAGGCACTGAGTGATTATATCAAGCATGTGGGATTTTGGTTAAAATCATTGTGTCAAATCTGCAGGAATGCCGAAGCCATGCCAGGAGCCTTGGACAGCTCCCAACCAAGAGCTGTCTCACTGAGTGCCAGTAAAAACATCACATTCCTGGGTCATCTATAAGACCAGAAACAATAACTGCTTAGCACTTACTCCAAGTTTCTCCTTTATGAAATGTCATTGCTTTCAAATAGCAATTTGAAATAGCAATCTGAAAGGCTCATACATGTCTGTGGGAGCTGTGATTCTTCCCTCCCTGCTCTCACTGTGCAGGACATCCTTTTTTGTTATTCCAGAGACCTTTTCCTGCAAACAGCACAGCCTCACAGATGCACACACATCAGCTGTAAGAGCAACAAGCAAAAGCCTTGAGCAGAGCCATTCTGAGGGGCAGAACTTCTCAAATTTACAGCAGTGGCAACCCTTCACATAACCTCCCCTGTCAGCCATCAGTTTACACCTCACTTTAGACTGATCTGAAACACCCACTGTGCTTTAGTTTGCTTCTTCCCTGGGCAAGACCATCCTATGGGACATGACACTCCTGCCTGGACTCCTCCCTGGTCACCAGGGGACACTGGGGTCTGCCCATCAGGACCAGTGTAACCTCCTCTCTTCCCAAAAGGGAGCTCTCCCACGTGGCAGGCTGTGCTCTGCAAGGTGGTTGCACAGTCTTGGAGTCATGCTGTCCATCCAAGACTCACTCCTGCACACAAAGAAAAGTTCCAGATCAGGATGGCAAAATGCTGAAGTAGCCCAGCTGGGAGGCACCCGAATGACTCTGCCTTGCACTGCTCCTGAAAGAAGAGATGGAGGGGATGATGTTTTGGGCTTGACTTCCTTTCAATTTGTTTTTGTGGAGCCCAGGATATTTTCAGCCTTAGTCCAGTATCACATAATGAAAACGCCTAATGAGTTTTGATGATAACAAGACAGTTGTCTAAAATTATGAACATAAACTGACAAGAACTTGGCTGAGGTGGAGAAGCCAAGCTCTGCATCTGGGCTGGTCCACACGTGGCTCAGGACAATCTTTTTTATAGTGAGTTTAATCTGAATATTACTGACTAAAGCCCACTCCAAAATCTTTGGAGGAAAAACAAGAGGCTTTTGCTCCAAAAACTAAGCCTGCCATTTTTCTCTTTCAAATCTCATCTCCCTGTCCATGTGCTTGGATTCCATGGAGCCTTCAGAGATGTCCTCCCAGTCTGCCATAGCACTGAGCTGTGTGAGGAAAGCGGCCTTTGCAAAGCACATGCACTAGCCAGTATATCCAGAAACAGAGATATTCCTCAGTGGTGCCAGGAATCAGAACAATTCCAACACTGGGAAGCTAAAATCAGTTTCTATGGAGGCTCTTGATTCCTTGTTAGGGCCAATCCAAATTCTGACCATGAGAAAACTGTGGGTGTTGTAAATCAAAAAGCATTTCTTAAAGACTTCTTGTTCTGTAAAACATGAACTTTGGGTGGCAAAGCACTCCATGTACACAGGGCTGTCAAACTGCTTTGGCAAGGGTAGGATGGAAGGGAGCAAGAAGAAAAAGCTTTTTCCAATGAGTTTTTGCAGCTCCATAAACAGTCTGCATCCCACAAAAGTTGTTTTCACACTGTAATGAATGCCATTCTCCTGCCCCCAGCAAATGCAGGACGTCAGGTTAGTCCCACCTAGCAAGTGCTTTCTGTGTTTTCAGGTACACACTTCACATTCAGCCATCTGCTCCTCCATGGACTCCTGGGGCTGGCTTGTCTTAGCCTAGAAAAGTGGTGGGGGATCAAATTTTATGTGAGAGGGAAGGAAGGCATAGGATGAAACAGCCCCTTGCAAGGGTGCCCAAATCATCTCTGCTGCTGACACGTGCACTCACTAGAAAAGCTGTTGCAGAATTGCCTTGGAGGTATCAAGATGTAACTGGAAAATTTCATGCTATCTATGGAAATGCAGATTGTCTGCTGTGGGACAATAGGTTACATTCCATTGTAATCCTGTTCCAAAATGAAACAAAACAATATAAATACATTTAAAGGGGATACTGTACAGGATTTGTAGAACAAACAAAACATAATTGTCACTGTATCCCTTGAGGTAGTTTTGGCACACAGACCCCAGAAAAGGTCTGGAAGAATCTGAGATCTGAAAGAAAAAAAGTGGAACAGTTTGTTCATATCACAACACGCTAAAGGAGAGCAAGGCTGACAAAACACAATTGTTTCCTAAATGCAGGAATCTGCACAGCAGACCCTGCAGAAGAGCAGCCAGCCACCCTGACAGGATCAGCCAGCCATGGAGCTTTTGCCAATGAGGCTGCCAAATGCACCAGAAGGTGTGAGACACCTCTTGCTGGGTATTACAAGAACATCCCCCACCAGGACAGCCGAGGAACATTTTCTAAGGAATTAGCCTCACAGCAGTTGGCTTGGCTTAAAGTGAAGCAGTTTATAAGAATTTTAGGGGGCTTTCATGACACACACTAGTGAGGCTCTCCCACCATGCACCAACCTTTGCAGAAGACATGAAATTGTTAGACTTCCAAACCCTATGGAAAGGCATTTCAGGTAAATACCCAGATTTCACATTTCCCCCAGCAGGACAGGAGAAGGCTGCAGCACCCAAATAAAAGAAGATCTCTGCAGCTTCCAAAATCCCGTCTCTTTCTATAACCCAGTCTGGCTCTCAGAAGGGCATAGCTGGATTTGCCCCACAAAGGGCACAGCTGGTGAAGTGCACTGGCATCACTCCTTCCTCTCCTTGTACCAGTAGGATGGGATGTGTCAGCTTCTCTGTGCCAGGGTTTGGAATCCAGGTTAGCCTGAATTAAGTGATCACCCAAGGTGGCAGCAGCAGATCTGCTTTATAACTGGCTTTATAATTATTAGACAGATTTAGCAAAGCACTACTTATTTTCCCTTTTTCTTTTTGTTATTTGATTGAGTTTTGCCTTATCCAGTGGAGAATAAAAATCTCCAATGCTGTCTCAAAACACCATTATCTAAAAACATGCACTATTGATTTAATTCTGTTCCTGGTATTTCCTAATATACTCAGCCATCTTTTGCACCAGCTGAAAGTCAGTGTTCTATTTTTATGTTGTCCTTAATTTAGGGTGAATTTCACTGAGCTTTAAATGAGTAAAAAAAGTCTCTGTTAATGTTTCATTGAAAAACTGATTAAACATTCCTGTGTATAAATCTCTTTTATTGTCACTGGTTATTTCAGTCTCAGCATGGTCCAGGATCAACCATTTGGCATTTCACAGAGGCAAGCTCTGTGCATGATTACAAATGTACTGACATTCTCAGAAAGATAAAAGTCTCAAACCACCTTTACCTGGTAGAGTGAAAACAGTCCATAATTTTATTTTAACCAGCATTTTCTGAAGTTTTGTTATTTTTTTTTCCCAAATAAGACCTTATTATCCTTTTAAATGACAACTCATTAAAAAAAAAAAGATTTGTACTGCTGCTCTATACCTTGTTGTGCTTATTTACAGCAGCAAGGATGAATTCTAGGTGCTTTCCTTGCTCATCCCTGAGTAACCCCCTGACCAGCCCTAGATTTACTGCAGCACAAGCCTTCAGTGACATTTCCTGCCCACACATCAGCCTTGTTGTGGCCCACTGTGACACACTGTTTAATACAGAGTCCCTGTGATGCTACCTATGGCAAACACCACCCTCAGAACTGATAAACAAGCTTTCTGTTATGTTAGCTTAATGAAACTTCTTACAAATAGAGGAACCACACACAGCAAAACCTCCCAGAGAGAGCATCTGCAGTCTGCACGCCAGGGGCTCTGCCACGGACACAGAGCAGGGGAAGAGCAGGGTCAGGCAGAACCAGCAGTGCAGGACAGAGGAGCTGTGCCAGTGACAGGGAGCTGCTCTGCTGGAAACTACTGAAGGCAGGTGTTCCCTGCCTGAAAAGGTGGGAAATCATGCCAGAAAGGGCAGGGAGGGGAAAGTGCCAGTGTGACTTACTCTTAGAGAAGGGGGACCTATTTACAAACTGCTGTGGACATTCATTTGGCACACAGTCAGCCAAAGACTCCTGCAGCATCCAATATCCATATAAGCTCCCCAACCCAGTGTGGGCAACAGCCATGGAACAGGAGAAGAGCCATGGCTCCCCACCCAGTCACTCACAAACAGCTCCAAACCTATCCAAGAGGTGCAAGGCCAGTGCAGGGACAACCAAGTGCGTTCTGCTCTGCTGCCATCCCATCAGGTGTGCAGGATGGACACCAGAATCCCTCTTTGCATTGTGCTCCACCTCCCTTAACACACTCTGCAAGCCTCTGAGCAGACTCCTCCCCCTCGATACATACACTGCTGTGCTCTCAGTTTATCAAGTGTCCAGGGATTTTCCAGGTGATGAGACAACACTGTTTGTAGACTCCCCACCTCACCTATTGACCACCCCTGGTCATGGAGACTGAAAACTGTGTGAAAAACCAGACTTCCCACTGCTGGCACCAGCCTGTTGCATGACTCTGAGCTGCAGACTGATGACAGTGCTGGCAGAGTCACTTGAGATGTAAGCAGCTGCCTAAGAGATAAACACTACTCACAAATGTTTAGAAATACCAGATTTGCCTTTGTTTCCAGGGTTGTAGTATTTCTGATTGTGCTTGAAAGTATGTAACATAAAGAATTTATTAAGTGCCCACACAAAAAACTTTCCACATTCTCAGGAATTTGCTACAAACCTTGGGATCTATCTGATTGAAATGGCCATTACAAATTCTTATTCCAACTTGATCTCCTTACATTTCCAAATTTCAGAGTGAGAAAACCCTGCTTCCTTTCAAAACCATGAGAGACACTTTCAGTTCAAACTGTAGGTTTGAGATCCTTTTCAAGAGAATTCTGCCCTCTGAAATGAGGATGATGTACTCACCAAGAGCCTCCTGCAGTACCCGAAGCGCCGGCTCCCATCCTCCCCAGTCAGCATGAAAGAGAAGGTCTCACTAGGAGAAAGTGAATTGTAGAGATTATAGCAGAACTACAGCATGGCTACAAGGCAGATCACTTAGCAAGGGACACTCATCAAGTGAGAGATGCCACCCACTGGAAGGTCTTCATCCTTAGGACGTACTCTGTGGAACAATTCTGGCAGCAGTACAGTTAGGGACAACCCAGCTGTCTCATCAGAACAGATGGGTGCTGAGTGTCAATGACTGCAGAAGAAATATGAGAATCAGATTTTGAGGGCAGTATTCCAGTGGTCCTTTACCTTTAGTTCAATCCTGTATTTGGACTGAGCTTTGTTCTTAAAGGGAGAACCTTAGATATTCTCTGAGAGTAGAGAAATCATTTTCTAATCCAGAAACAACACAGGTTTCCAAAATCCAGCTCATTTTATGTCTCTGCCTAGGATAAACACCATTTGTGAAGGAGCAGTAAAACAGTTTTACAGTAAAACAACAGCACAGGTAAAGGGATGGGTCTGTGGAATTGTGCATGGGCTGTGAAACATTCCTGACTGCTTTGCAAGTTTTAAATGCTATTATATAAAACACTTCCTGGTGCTGAAATGCCAGGTTTTGCAAAATTACAGATGTCTCTGGGGAGACTTTATTGTGGCCTTTCAATACATAAAAGGGGCTTCTAAGAAAGATGGGAATAGACTTTTCAATAGGGTCTGTAGCAATAGGACAAGGGTTAATGGTTTTAAAATAAAACTGGGTAGATTCAGACTAGATAAAAGGAAGAAATGCTCTACAGTGAGGGTAGTAAAACACTGGGACAGAGTGTCCAGAGAGGTGGTGAATGCCCTGTCCCTGGAAGCATTCAAGGTCAAGCTCAACAGAGCTCTGATCAAGTTGAAGATGTCCCTGCCTGTGGCAGAAAAGGTTGGACTGGATGACCTTTAAAGGTCCCTTCCAACACAAATCATTCCAGAATTCCATCCCTTCTGCCTATCCTGTTACTCTACACCTTTGGATCAACCAGTTCTCACATATCAATGCAGAGAAAAAAAAAATTATACATTTTTTTTGAGGTCACTTTGAAGGAAGAAGAAAATGCAAGCCTGGCTTTCCTTTTCCTTGCCCTTCTCCTGCAGTCATTCATCTCCAGTGGAAGGAAGAGAGAGCACAGCTCCAAGAAAGTTCTCAGACAGCAATGTTTTGAGCCAAATGAAGGGGTAACCTGCAATGTTAGACAAGCACTCTGAAGGCAGGGGGTGGGCAGGGCCCCGTCCTTTTTAAGATTTATTTTAAGTACTTCCATTTATTCTTTTGAGTTTAGCACTCAGAGGAACCTTCAAGCCTCTTCCCCTCAGCCACACAGGCCTGTGAGGCAGGCAGAATAGGGAAGAAAAAGAACACACAGCTTCAAAAGAAAGAAAAATTAAATACAGCTGCTTGATCACAAAGTGGCCAAGACTCAAACTGCTGCTTCCTTAATTGGGCACTGACGAGGCTGAGGCTGTTCCAGTGCACTCCAGCACCATTCCAGCACCACTGCATCGTGCAGAGCAGCTCTGGAGCACTCACCTGTTGTACTCAGAGACGGGGAGCCAGTCCTTGGCATCAGGGAAGCAGAACTGTGGGATAGCCTTGAGGCGCTCCTCTGCTTCCCGCATCTGCTTGGTTGGTCTCTCCAGCTGCAGGGAGAACAGAGAGGCTCAGTCAGCCCCTGGGTGTCCCTTCAGGGTCACTGAGCAGCTCTGAGAGCCAGGGCACATCTGATTGTCCTGTAGTTGTGCTTGGCAGAGAGAGGCACGACTCCAGGACAGGCTTATAGGTGCTTGTACAAAAGAAATAATCACTGCTGGGGTTTTACAGTTTTTCAACTGTCTGAAACTCCCTTGTTGTACAATGGCCACTTAAAACACAGCCCTTATTCAAATACCTTTCTGCTACAAGAGCACAAGAGAAATGCCAGAGATCAGCAAAAGTCTTTCCATTGACTTCAGTGAGTTTTGGAACAAATCCTAATAATAGCCAAAATGAGTTAAAAGTGAAATATTTAGAAACTGAATTTAAACAGTGTTTAAAGCATCCACCACCAGGCCAAATTCTCCAGCTCTGAAAAAGATAAATTTGAAAACAGGGAAAGCTTTCAGTTACCTTCTCTATGCCCTTTGCTTTGTAACAGATTGCTTTGGAACAATTCTGAAAGCTCCATTTAAGAACTGGATTTCTATTCATTTTTCCGTTTATTCACCTTACTGATCTTAGAATGAGCTGTACACAGGAATTTTTCTTTTACCTTGGGAAACTGGTATGTCACTTCTGGCAGGTAAGTGTTTTTAGAGGGCTTCTTTTTCAGGGACACTACCACAAAATACTCAAATAACTCCCGCTCCTGCCACTCAATCAGCTCCAGTTCCAGGGTGCGATAGCTTGGAGCCCTCTTCAGCATTGACTGGATGTGCACCAGGCGCTGGGTGTGAGCTGGCATTTACAAAGAAAAGGAAATAAAAAAAGACACAGATCATTACCTGAGACTGTAATGTTTTTGTGTAAGCCACAGCCATTCACAAAGCACTTTCAATTTGCCAGAGTATTATTCCAAGCATGTTCTCCTTTCAAAACCAAACTTTTTAGTTAGCAAACCTGTAGTCTCACTAATTGCACCCATAAATCAAAACTCTCTCCAAGTTATGCAACACTCAGTCACTGAAATGATTTGCAGTTCATAACTGCTATCCTGGCAAAGGTCTGGCTTTTCTTCACACATAAGACTGGATTATAAACCCTTATGTGGTTGTGCAAATGCACTGGGGCCTCCAGGGTGACACATCTGAGGTCTGGTGACAAACAGTTCTGTGCCCTGTCCCTACACGCACAGCTTTTTGTTACAAACCGCATAAGGCAGACCATGGAATAAATTCCAGGGAAGAGGAACAGGGAGGAAAGGGAAGATGTGCCAATTGCCTGCTGTGGGTTGCTTTGTTAGGGCTAATTCAGTTGGGGGATGATCTTAGATTCATGGCCATTCATGAAGGCAAAGATGTACCTTGACCCAGTGACTTGCTGCTTGACACCTATGGAGAACTGGTCATTAACATCACTCATTACCAGTTCTGTTACACTAAAAAACCCAAAACCAGCTCATCAAAAGCAGCTCCCTGCATGCTCTTCCCAGCTCTTCATGCAAGGATCTCTGGGCAATGGCAAAGGAACTGTTAGCAGCACACCTCAAACCCTTCAGGCTCTACTCACTGCCACTGCCCACAGCTTCCCAAGGCTGACTGGCCCTTGTGACAGGGAAATAAGGTGCCATAAGCACTTAGGGAAAGCCCTTGATGACCAGCCCTCACACATCTGGTTCAACAAAAAAGTTAACAATTATTTTGATAAAGCACTTGGGTCTCGATGTGACTGCACAACTGGGGAAGTTAATCCCCAGAACAACCTGCCTGCTCCTGCCTAGAGGCAGCCCCACACTGCAGGCCACTGCTTCACGTTTGCTGGGGGGAAACCAAAGAGGCCACCCCAGCAGATGGGCACCCAGTGAGTCCTGTCATGCTATACATCACAGGGGAGCTTCAGCTCAGGGTGCCCTTAGAGCATCAATGTAAACACCAAGTCACTCAGGAGCAGTGGGCTAGAGAGACATCAGAATGAAGATCCTCTGTTCCACAACAGTGGGGGAAAAGCCTCCCAGTTTCCAGGCAGATCAGAATATCCTCCCAGTAATAAGAAGGGGCCAGGCCCTGTCTATCTTCTTTCATGGCCTGCAAGAACAAGCAACCCTTCTATTTTCTGACACAAAGAGAAACAGAACCACAAGTGCTTTTGGGTTGGTACAGGTAGACAAAGGAGCAAGGAGTCATTTTCCCCACATCACTGTACAACATTGCATACAGCCTGTTTTGGATGGTCTTAGCACCAGCTATCTGACACAAATCTGTTTCCCTAAGACAATGTTTTCCAGAAAGTTTTGTTGCATGTACAGCAAGCAGGTGTCATCTGCAGTAGGTAGACATGGATGATTGCCCCATATTTTATAACAGCTCCACACCCTTGTCTTTTTTACTCCTCACCTACTAACAACATGATGGGTTTTTAGTAATGACATCTGTTGCTGCTGTCTTCAACTTTTTTATAGGCCTCTTTCTGTACCAGGACTTAGGAAAAGGAGAGACTAATTTAGTGGCCTGGCTCAGGCAGAGTTTGTGCAGGTGCTGATAAAGGAATTTCTACAATTTGGAGACTGCAGACTTATAAAAGAGTCTAAGAACCACAATGCTGGATCAGACCCAGATCCTTGCCTCCAACAGCAGTGAGCAGTAAACACCGAAAACAGCATATGAGTAAGAAAGGAGCATCTTTATCCAATCCCATCCCTCTAAGCCTGCACCCAGTAGTCAGTCTGGAATAGATCAGCATCTCTGAAGTGGCTGACAAAGCCAATCTATCAAAGGTCCTGTTCTTCATTAAATGACACAGTTGCCAAATCCTTGTTAGATCTTCACAGCCCATTTTGTCCTTGCTTTTCACGTTCATACTCCTGTGTTGGAACTTTGGGAGCTTTGCAGTAATGGAGTTAGGAAACTGTAGAGAATATAGGCCATGGACAGGAGCAATGTGCAGCAGCAGAAGAACATACATTGACAGGGTCTAATGAGAAGTCACTGAAGGCTGATCCCTTACCTTTAAACCTGTCATCTGAGTCACTCTCACTCTCGCTGTTCTCATCTGCAGAGGACACAGAGGCATTAGTTAATGCAAAACCAGAGCAAACAAACTCAGTTCACTGTCCTGCAACTGGGAAAAATCCTATCTCACATCTCTGAGTCTTGTGATACACACATGCACTTCTCCTCAGTCTTAAAATATCTTGAAATAAACAGTTTGAATGACTCCTTGGATTGTGTTTTCCTTGGATTCAGTTTCAATATTGCTTGAGAGTAAGAACTTCATTTTGATGAAAGGGCAAAATTCATTCTCCATTACAGCAACTGTTTGTACTGAATCCCCATCTATGCTGAGCTGCAAAAGTGACATTTGGAAAATAGGTCTTAACCCTTTCCCTTCTTGTTTTCAAGTTTCAATTTTATTTTTTTTTAATAAAGGTCATGCAGCACTTAAGTCAACGTAAGCTTTATGAGTTTTGTCTACGTGGACAACATTCTCAATCACCAGAACTCACCAAAATGAGTTAGAGTTAACAGGCAAAAGTAATCTTATGACAAGATGTGTTACTGAGGGGTTCTTGATTAAAACCCTGTTGTACCTTTACTACAAACAGGGCCTGAATTTCCTTTTTGGCTCCTGTTTTTCCAGAAGCAGTCTGAAGCACAGGGTGAGTTACACACTGTGAGTGCCAGGAAAAAGCATGCAAGAACTCCAGGGTCAAAACAGTGAATTTTGGTCAAAACTTACAGTAAATATGGACTAAAGGAGAAGCTGGGTAAATCCAGCTGACCATGGGATTAACAGGATACACAATACTGAGAACCTTATTTATTTTTAGTTCATCCCCATTTCTCCTCTTACAGAGAGAAAATTATTATTGTTCACAGAAAAAAGTTCTAAACTAAGTAGAGTCCAGGGTAGATGTGGAGGAAAGAAGGAAATTGATTAATGCTGTAGGATCCAAATGGATTCACTGAACCCTGACACTTGCACCATACCTCGTAGGGAAGCTGTCTCAATACTGGACATAGAAAGTTTCTTCAGTCGTTTTTTCCCTCTTTTTGCACTGTAGATGGAATTGATTCTTTGGACAAGCTGCAAAATAAGAAAATGAGGAATCAGGAAGACCAAACATTTTTCTGCCAGGAGACTTTTATTAATGTATTCAAACAAAACATGGATGATAGATCAGCTAATGCAGATAATAACTGTCTGCCCCAAAAATATCTGAGATGATGGGAAATATTAATGAGATGACTTGTGTTTATTGTCTTCAGCAAGAGGCTGGGATTACTAAGAATTCAACATTAAACAGAATATTATAACTTTGGGAGAGTCACAAATATGTAGTAATTAATCTTCATGATGTTTTATAAGTCAGGAATAGCGTATTTAATTTCACAGAAGATTTCTTCATAGAACTATAATACAGTTTGCAAAAGCTGTTTCATCTCAGCTTCCAGAGAGAAATAAACTGAGAGAAAGGATGCAATTCACCATAGACACAGCAGAAGGGCAGTAACAGAGCACAGATTGAAACAAAACCTTTTTTAGGTTTTCCCTCCAATAACTATCTCAATTTAAAAAATTATATTCTTCAGGAATACATGATCCTGAAAGGTAAAGTAGTAAGAAAACAGAAATTATCACAAGATTTGCAATAAAATTGTGAACATTCATATGCTGAAATCAGAATTTCCATTTAGGAGAATATCTGCCCCTTCAATTAAAAAAATAAAAAAGGGTACAAAATTAACAGCCAAATTTTCCAAGTTTTACTCAAAATCAGGTAATAAGTTACTCTGTAAATAACCCTGTGATTTCCTCCAGAAATGTGTGCCCACTGGTGAAGTATAACAATATATTCCAATAAAGTAAAAATACAGTAAATATTAAGGATGTCGGATTAATTTCCTCCTTAAACAGAATTTCCAACAAATTCACAGAAACATAAAAATCTCCCTCTAGTCACAGTATTTATAGCCATGTACTTTAAAACATGCTCTTTAATAAGAACAGGAAAGAGCTGAATACACAGTAAAAATCAACTTTGTTCACAAGCCAAAATGAAGCACACTGGCAGTTCTCCCCCTCTCTGTTGCTATTGTATTGTTGGTTTTCTGGTTGTTGTCTTGTGGCTTGGGGTTTTTTTCACATTCCATTTTGAATCAAAAAACTCCCTGAAAAATTAAAAATTAAGTTTTACTTCAAATCCTTCAAGACATCATGGTTAACAGGATGGGGTCAGCTGTGAGTAAATTAAGGGAAATCTATTAGGCCAATTAGTTATTTTCCTGAAAACAAACGATGGGGAAATAAACCACTTCAGATGTTACTGCATATTATAAATAATAATTGCTGGGCCATCACCGATTCAAAATCTTAAAGTTATATACACAGCAATGCTCTGGTCCACAGAGTTTCAAGAAGAGTGTGGAAAGCAGAACTGCCTTAAAGTCAGTTCTGTGTGAAGATGGCCATCAGATGTTTGCTCATCTTGGAAAATTTGGAAGTTATTACTTCTAGGGAAGTAATTTTGATCTACATGCTCCTTTAGGGTACAAAAAGAGCTTTCAGTGATGGCTAAAGGCTGGCTGTTGGAACCTGGTTACTGAGAATTTTAGACTTTCTGTGCTGACAGGCACTGACCCCCAAGAGAACGCTGCACTTGACCTCAGGTCATTAAAAAGGTTCCAAAATTGAATGACAGAACTGGGATTATGGGTGTGTAGTTTGAATAGAAGTGTGCAATATCACATGGTGGAAAACTTAAAGAGTTTAAGGTTTTAGAAGATATATGTAAAGCAAAATGGAGGTTTTAGGGCAGTGGCTGGTCCTTCTTTACCTTCTTCCTCATGGGTTTGGGTGGTTTTGTGTAATTGGATAAAAAAGTCCTCATGGCAGGCCATGGGTGGTTGGTAATTGGGTTAAAAGTAAAAATAATAGGAAAGTTTATAGTTTATCCTTAAAAAGTTAGTTTATCCTTGAATAAGGATAGTTTATCCTTTAAAAGCCTTGTAGAGAGAGAGATGGGGCTCCCTTTTTAGTTTGTTAGAGTGAAGTGCTGTAGAACTCACGCTCTGTGAGACTGTGCTACAGATAAGAACTAATAAACATCCGAGTCCCAACAAGAAATACAACCTGGAGCACTTAATCCCGACCCTGGCACAGAGAAGATAAGACTCAGCAGGTGCCCAGAAATCCCCCAGCTTGCAGCCAGGTGACCTCTCCTCAGCACAAGGGCTGACCCCACCCCGGTACCTTCGGGATCCTCCTGGCACGCCGCGTGGACAGCAGCTCGCTGGCGGTGCTCAGGCTGTCCTCGGTGAGGCTGGAGGGGGACGAGGGGATGCCCAGCTGGGCCAGCAGCAGCATGTCATCGTGGCTGTGCCGCTTGGGCAGCCGCGGCAGGCGGTGGCTCTTCCTCTCGGACCAGTTCCCCACGCGCAGGGAGTGGCTGCTGGCCTTCGAGGGCAGCTGCAGGGACAAGGACAGCTTGAGCTCCTCCCCTGTGGGCAATGCCTGGGGCACCTGGTGTCACTCTGCCACCTGTGACAGAGTGGTGGCTGCACGGGGACACCGTGCCAGGGGAGCCACCACTCGCAGGATGCGTGTCAAGGTCACAGTGAAGGGAAGGGGTCAACCTCCAAGACTTTAAAGTTCAAAGGAAACAAACAAGACCATTTCTGACCTGCTACATTTCCATGCACCCACATCCCGTCACATCCCTAAAATCTAACTTGAAGGCTTGGCTGACAGCAGAGCACTGACCCAACAGGCCTGGTCCATTCCTCTGACTTGCAGCAGTGAAAATAATGAGTAATTACACAGTTCATTGTAATGTTAATTCAGTGCAAAAGTAATAACTAAAATAGCAAATTCATGCTATTTTATTCAATAAAAATAAAATAGAAAAATCAAGCTTGTTCTATTTTCATGGTATTAAGAAGTTTTAAGACCTGACAATGAGCAGAGATGCAGTTACAACACTCCCTACATTCCCAAAAAATTCCCTTTAAAACACAAAACTGTTATCACTACAGAGCAAAGGGAAAATCTCACTGAAGGATTAACCTGATAACATCTGTCTTTAAAAAACTGAAGGTCTTTTGGAGCAGTTCTAGGAGCAGCTCTGCCCAGCTCCAGGTCCCTGCCTTCTCCTCTCAAACACAAACACTGTAAAGAAGGTTCCCAAGCACATCCAGGAAAAAGTATTATTGTGTCAAGCATCTGTCATTTGGCATTTATTAACATTCTATCAGCTCTGTTACAAGCTATAAACCTGCAGCAATAAATGTCCCATTTATTGGCTGACAGATTGCAGTGCCATCCCACCTGGGATTAAGCACAGGTGTTTCTGTGGAGAGGGGTTGCATCACAAATACAATGTCATCATCAAACATTCCTTTCATACCTGATGACTTCAAAAACTCAAATTTCAAATTCCGAAAAGAATCAGCGGGAAAAGAAAAGACAAAGTGAGCACACCACCAGTGTTTCTGAGATCTCTGCATACCACAAGTTAGCACACCAGGAAAACTGAGCACAGTCTCTCCTTTATTGAAAGGAATTCTTTTTGGAGATGATTGTTGGAAGCTTGCTGACCTTCTGATCTCTTCCATCTTGTTTATCATCATCCATGACTGAAAAGTCATGTTGCTAACCCAGCTTTGTTGCTATGATGGAAAAACTGGGTGATAAACCATTGCCAAAGCTACCATTCTTGAGGAAATTCAGACTTTTCTATTTCTGGTCATTGGAGAATTACCCAGGCCCAAAGCTCACCCACTCCTAGTGTCTCTTCGTGTTAAATATCAGCACAATGACAGTGCAATTATGGCAGGACTGACTCCTGTCAGGGCACTCCCAGCAGCATTTCAAAAAGAAGGTACCAGAGCAAAGCCAGCCCTGCTGCAAAGGGTCCCAGAGAGTTCTTATTTACTGAAAAACTTTACAGAAGGCACTTACATCTGCAAATTCTTTGGTAACCCTCTGTTAAAGAGAACACTGGTCAGTGTCTTCCTATGGATCTGTATGGTTCCCAGCCTAATGACACAGCCTCAGGGATCCTCTGGATGCTACACAACTCCTGTTAACACACACAGAGCCTGAAATAGTTGTTATGCACCATGTCCCACTGTGAGGGAGATTTCTCTGTTATCCTCATGACTGCAGTGCCTGTTTCTCCTTTCTCTGCCTGATTACTACTCTCCACTTGCTCCTTTTCCAGCAGCTTTGCTGAAGTCACCCCTGGCTTAGAAGGGATGCGCTAGGAGCACACTAAGAATCCTGGTGATGCTTCTTTTGGATTGTGATGCTTGCATGCACACAAAGCAAGTGAAAGAAAAAGGGTTCAGTTTTCTTTCTAGGTCTCTTTACAGGACAAAAATGTAAATTTTTATGACCTTTTGTTGAACTGTGAATTTTCTGTTAATTCTGTGCAGAGTAAAGTTCCTTTAAAGGGTGCTTTGAATCTCAAAATTAAGTATGTGTTGAAATTTATCTTTCTCCTTATGAACATAGTGATCCCATAAACAACAAAGCAACCTGGTATTTCATGGTGTTCACAAAAAAACAGGCTTACTTTGAAAAATTCGTAAAGGGAAAGTCTGCAGAGTGCCTCGTGTTTATGCGATAAACACAGTTTATACAGGCTTGTTAACTGCAGACACTCAGGTTTTCCTGACTGTTTTATTATTCACGCATTTACCTGGCATGGTTACACTAAACCCACTCCCCATGAGCAGCGCCGCACCAGGGTCTCGTGTAACACCCCAGGGACACAACCAGCAGCTGACACCTCTCTCCCCTCCCGCCGCTGCCCGGCAGCAGAGGCAATTCCCTGCGAGGCGCAGGCACACGGGAGTTAATTCCCGAGCGAGCAGAGGAAGCACTCTGCGGGCGCTGCGGGGCCGGGGCAGCGCGGAGCAGCCGCCAGGCACACGGGAGTTAATTCCCGAGCGAGCAGAGGAAGCACTCTGCGGGGCCGGGGCACGCTGCGCCCCCGCCCGCAGCCCCGGCCGCCTTTACCTGCGGAGCCGCCGCCGGGTATTTCCTGCTCTGCGCCGTCCACATCCTGGGCAGGGAATCTAGGGAGTTCTCGGACAGCTGATGGGATTTTCGCCCCCCGTGACGGCCTTTCAGCTCCACATCCTCGTACGGGTTTTCCTTGGGTGACTCGCCTGCACGTTTGGGTTTTTTTGGGATTTTTTTTTTTTTTTAAGGAAAGAAAAACAGACAGGAATGTAAAATTAGAAAAAAAAAATAAAAATCATGTGAACCAAGGCTTTTAGAAAAGCTCCTCAGTTTTCAGCATGACTCATCCCTCTAGCTGCAGCTGGAAGTATTTGGAGAAGAACTTGGCTATGAGCTCGACAAGTTTCTTTGGATTTTTTAACTGTCCCCTTTTTTTTTTTTAACTAAAATGTGAAGATTTCACAAGACGTGCTTCTGAGCATCCACAGCTGTGGAAAATTTATTGATATATAAAAGCTAAGGCACTTAACTTCTTGAAAGTGTATCAGTAGATTTTATAAATCCATAACAGCCATTCGGGGGGGTGAAATGAAGACCAATAAATAACTGTGCTCAACACACCACCCTTACACACAGCAAGACAATTCTTATTTGATGCAACCTTCATTTTTCTCTTCTCCTGAGAGATGGCAAAGAAAGAGTAAATGCTCCAGCTCAGCAGTGCTAAGAGACAAGATTGCAAAAGCAAAAGGAGAATATCTGTCCCAACCATCCTGCATCCTCAAAGTGTTCTTTAAAATATATCCTGTCTTAAATTAGGCAGCTATTCATTTCAAATTATGTGAAATTCCTGTCTCCCAGGAGGAAACTCATGCTGCTAATAATATATGGAGGGTTAACCAATTAATCACTAAATAGTACTTAAATGAAAAATTAAAAAGCAGACTCCATGAATTTTTACCATTTGAAAACCAGAACCAAAATTTATAGTTCATATTTAACTGAGATCCAATACCCACCATCTTCTCAAAACTCCTGAACTTAGCAGACCTCTCAGTAACAAAGGAGTATGAAGATGAATGAATGCCGTCAATAAAATTAACATTTTGTATGCATTTTTTCAGACAGTTGATAATCAGCAACTGATTTATAACTCCAGGTTTTTCAAACATGGTCATTCCAGTTTTCCAACAATCTTGAACAGAAAATTATCTCAAAAAAATATTGATCTACTCAAATTCAGGACTTGAATTTACAGAAACAAGCAGGAAGTCAAAAGCTTTTAAAGCAACTTGCTTTTGGTTTTGTCTAAAAATGACTTTAAAATCCATGGGTTTAATACAATATATGTATTGCGATACAAGCTATCTAACATAGGAAATTCAATTGAGAAGTGAGGACAGAAAGCTGCAGTGTGGTTCATTATTTCCACTGTTACAGAAAATATTCACAGTGTGAATATTCACTGTGTGAAGGAGATGACAGCTGGGGCATAGGTGTTTTCACTATTAACTAGGGTTAACACAGTCTGTGAGACTGCCAGCTACGTTGTTCTAGGCAGACTAAATTTCCATATTGTACAAAGGAAAACAAAAGCAGTTTGTGCTTTTTGCTTGATTGTTGAGCCTGGAAGCATGAGACTCAATTACAGCCACAAGAACTTTTGCTGAGCAAGTTCACATATTCACAATACAAATAAAAATACAGTTTTGCTTCAGTAGTGCATCATAGTAAGATTTCTGGTCAAACATAAGCCCAAGAGTGAATGTTTTAGCTTTGTTCTAATTAGAGCCCTGAATCACTGCTGCTCTTGAAGAATGTTTGACTTGGCAATCACAGCTTATTATTTCATCCAGAGGGAATCTGATTCTAGAGGCTGCACTGTCGTCGTGGCCAGCGTTCATGCCACATAAAGAACACCCTCAGGTGTGTGGGGCACATGAAAGAAGCCCTTTTGATTAATGCAATGAACAGGATAAATCTTAAGCAATGTATATTCCTAAAAAAACGTGATGGTACGGAGGACTTTAGAAGCGGTTGATTTTTCCTGTGGGAAGAAAAAATAGATATCACACCCTGATTCTGTTACTTGTCGACCCTACAGCTCTAGAAATGATAATCATAGCAATGATAAAGAGTAAAATTTGCAAAATGCTGTTACTTACAGCTGATTGGGCTCTAGTAGTGCCATAAAATTTCTTGTAAGCCCAAGTCAAGTATAGGTCAAGCAAGCATTTTGGAATGGATTAATAGATTTCAAAATACCCAGCTACATGAGACATGGCTCAAACATGCTCTTCCTTGTGAAAACAAATGTTACTGTATTAGTCTACAGAGTATCCAAACTCCCAGGAAGCCCGTCAGTGAAAAAACCCTTTTCACAACATAAAGCATTTATAAATGTTAGGGGGATTCTCTTTCCAAAACAGAATGTAAAACAGAATTGCTTGAACCCCGTTAAACTCAACATAAATAATGTTGACCTGACATATTAAGTATAGAAACGGGCCCAGAGAAGTCTTGGATGAGAGTAGAGGGAGGAGCAAGGAACCATGAGCAGAGGCTTTTTTTTTCCGAGTCAGAGTCTCTACCAAAAGAGAGCTTGGGCCAAATTCCTCTTCAGTGTAATGTGAAGGTCAGAGGAGACACCACAGGGTATTTTAACCCTTTCCCCTAGAGCTGTGAGAGCTTCTGCAGATGACTGGTTTGCTGTTCAAGAATTCTTGTGTCTATTCTTTCTCTCATTTGCTTAAAAGAAACCAAATTATTTCATTATTTCAATTACATCTCACCACATTTTTTAAGAACCTCCCTCTACACCAAATCTCTGATAATGAAATAGTCTGATCCATCAGAAACCACCTGGTTTTGCTGACATGAGTTTTGAATTAAGTATTTGGTACAAGCTGTGAACTAGAAGAGATAGTTTATTTGTCTATCTCCTCAGCAACTTCCAACCACCATTTCTTAGTATCTGCTGTCCCTGGGAGACACACAAAATACCAGATATGCAAAAAAGAGGCAGGCCAGACTAGTTCCTGTACAAGTGACAAGGAATCAAAGGTGTCAAGTAAACCAAAAATGCTAAAAAATACCCTGAACTGCCTTAAAGCAGCATTTAACTGCATCTGACTGCACAGTGACTCCCTTCCGTGGGAGAAACATCTGGGAAGTGGTGGTCACCAGCAAGTGCACATCCCAGGTGGCAGTGAGGTCCTGGGGAGACCTGTGGTGGTGGCTGCTACTGCTGTGCTGCAGCACGGAAAGGAGAACAGTTTCCATATAACTGGCCGGCTCAGAGGTTTATGGCTTTCTCCTCAGCAGCACCACTTCTCCAGTCCTGAGTCTCAGGCAAGCAATACTTGCAAGCTGCAGTGCTTGGATTTGCTGCAGAAGGGAAACATATTGACAATGAAAGAGCAAGGAAACATCCTTGTTCCTGCCATATGGATGTCTCTATTAGAAGCCAAAAGGAGAAACATCACAGTATAGAGGCCAGGCTTGTCTTCATGAGGCTGATGCAACAGCCACACAAGACAACAGCAGATTACCACTGACTTCAAAGGAAGCTGAATCATACCCCCAGAATGCATATGATCACAAACAGTAAGTCTTTGGCAAATACTGTCTCTAATCACCATCCCTACTCCCAAATAATTTCTCTCTACAAGCATTTTTTCCAAGTTCCAAATTTTCTCAAATTCTACGTACCAAAGTGCTGAGTTAACACGGGGCATTTATCTACACGACATTTATCTTCAGAAGCTCTCACAGACAATGTAATGAACGGTCCATCAGGGAAAGAAAAGAAAAACAACAACAGAAAAAAGATAAAATAACCACGGATATTTAGGAAAGTCCTGAGGAATGCAGTGCCTTGGGCCCAAGCATGGATGTTTCCTCCAGGGGCTGCAGTTCCTCACGCCGTGATGCGGTGCAAGTCAGCCCCACTGAGTCCTGAGGCAGCACACAGTGTTCCTCTGCTCAGCCTCTCACACGTGGCAAGTGGGAAGCAGAGGCAGGCTCAGCAAGCCTGAATCATGCTGAGAAAGGAGTGAAAAGTAAGGCTGAGAGGGGAAAAAAAAACGAAGCAGGCAGACACTTCTCTATAAATGGCAGAAAGCAGGGAAATGCATCATTTCTTTCTAGATGGCAGAAGCTATTATCAGAGGAATTAAGTGATTCACAGAGTGCTGGTTGTAACTCCAGCCTTTTGCACTGCCAGGAAGAGAGAGGAATGGAGCAGCAGGTACAGAGTAAAGGAAAGGGCTCCTAAACTTGTGTGAAGCTGGGTGCCTAAATTGGGAACCAACACTCACAGAGGAGATGCTGAATCCACAGGATGATGGCCAAGCTAAGAGCCTGCTGCCTTTCCTCCTGGCTGCTCTGAAAGCCCAGGGGCCTGAGCTGCATGGCCAGGACAGTTATCACCTCCCAAATGAGGTGCACGTGCACTGCTCATTCATTTCAGTCATTAAATTACACCAGCACAGAGCCACACCACCAGTGCTGGAGGAAAACTGGGCCATTGGGATGGTTATGAGCACGTTCAGATCAAATGGATGAAAACCAGTAAATCTCCACACTCCCATAAAGTATCCAAACTTAGCTGTTTGGTACATAAATGAGTTTTTTCAATGTCAGAGATGCTGCAACTGTGCATCTCAGCTGGGGAATTTACCCCAGGAATCTGCAAAATGAGGAACTATTTCAATCCCAAATTACAACTAACACACATTCACAGCTGCTTTGAAAAGCTGTTGCTGACAGCACAAAGTTACAGGCCATTACTTGCTTATAATGCTGTCATCCAGTGTGCCCACTCAGTACCATGAGCTCAGAAAAGCAGTACAGCATCTACAACAATCAGAGTGGCAAGTCTAAAATGCAATCAGCCTTTTGGGCCCTGCTCCATGGAGTTTGTAGGCAACAACCTGCGCTTTCTGAACTCCTCCAGCCCTTGCAATCAGCAGAAGAAATGCTGCAGATGCTTCCAGCTCCCTGCTATCTCTGCAGGGACTGCTGAGTGCAATCACCATGAAGCACAAGGGAAAAGAATTAATATGGCTGATAAATGAATAAGAAATTTCACCCCCAGAAATCACCTGTTCACCACTCAGTCCAAAACCATGTGCATGACAATGTCTGGTAAGCAACTCTTAGCACAGTACAGCAGCAGCTTGCCTGAACTGCCTGCACTTCAGGG